ATACGCTATCGGTGAAACACCTGCATTCATTCAGATACGCTATCTGTTCGTAGTCAATGGTATCCCGAAAAAATATGCGCTAATTCAAGAACAATATCTAGCAATTCGGGCACCAGTTTAAATGCATTGATCGGAACACCAGATGAGCCATCTTTAAAGGAAATATTGAGGGTATCACAACGCTGGTTAGAAATAACAATTTCTAAGAAACAAATGCTATATACATAAACGATTTATCCCCGCTATCGCCCGGACATGGGAACGATTTAGGATAGTGCACGAGAAATACACGGAACACAGAGACGCCAATCAACCGACGAATAGAAAACAGCGACTCGGTCTCCAAAGCCATGCAGTCCAATTTTTTAACATCTACTCAAGAGCTTAAATCCAAGGGGTCAACGCACAAAAGGGCCATTTGGCGCAGACAAAACCAGAGACACAAAATCAAGAATCCAAACGCTACAGCGCAAAGTACGACTTACTTTATCATCGTTTCGACAAGGTCGCCACTGAAGCTGAGGCACCAAAGGCAGAAGATGATCTGATAAACCAACTCGCAGTTGGTATCCCTCTGTCGTAGTACTTTGAGGAGTCTGCAAGAAGAAGGCAAAAAGTGACCAAAGTTGCTGGGGGGGGGGCGATCTCATCGCTGAATACGATCGCCCCCACAAGAAAAAGAAGAGGAAGGAGCAAAGCTCACGTGTCAACACCCTGCTGGGCCACAAACGTCGCACGGTATTCGCGGATGCGGAGGAGCATCTGCAGATTCCTTGCCACGGTTTGCAAATACTCGTTGTTCTACAGCAAAGAAGAAGGAGAACGGGCAGTCATTCGCACTGAAAATTAAATTATCCTTAACAGTATTAAGGGGCCTAGACCAAGTCAAAAAGGACCAAGCTGCGGTCTGGTCCAGCCCTTAATTCGACCTACGCTAGAGTAAGTTACGTAGATAGGTGTGGAAAAAAAGAAACACTTAAATAGGGCAAAAAACAATGCCTTTTTCCGATTTTGTATGAAAAAATAATGTCCCGATGAAGATCGAATCGAATCGCTTCGAATCCATGTCCACTCGGATAGGCACTCCACTTCTTCCGTTATCTAATGATACTCAGCCCCGGGGGTGGAACATCCGCCCCCGTCGATCTCTCAGGCGACGAGGTCCATTGTGTGCCCCACGGAGTGGGCCCACAACCGATGACTTGCGCACAAATAAGATTCTGGTAAAGTTGACTTGC